ACAGGAAGCATTTATAGATGTACATTTCGTTCAGAACGACTGCTACTTTGTCTAAAGGATGTTGGATATTTAATATTTCCTTGTAAGCTGTAATTTGCATTCCACTCTATAAAAACAGTAAAACATTTCGTCGATTCCACAGACGCCTATGAGTCGTATACACGAGGAAATCTGCTGCAAAAAAACACTTTTAAGCTGCAATCCCGGTAAGCAATCGTCATCTTACTTGTCATATTGATATATTAGTATTATTGTTGCTTAGAATTTTGAGAGATCCAAGACGGATGCATCCCATACTATGACTTGCGATAATGTTGATACGCTAATCTTTCCGAAAAAAAAGTTAGGAAGGGGTCTTTTTTTTGTATGTCAAAAAAAAGTTAAAGAAAAACAAAGAGTAAAGAACTTACCTTGACATTTATCGCTCTTTACCTCGTCTGACAAGGCAAGAGCCGCCTTCGGGCATCTCTCACTCGCGAGGCGTTCGTTAACTGTTCTACCGCTTACCAAAAACCCGCCGTGGACGATCTAAGATGCCCGGAAACGATTAAATGTAGCTACAGTGCGCCCGGGATTGGAGCTGTTTCTCAAAGCTTCTCCGGAAATTACAACAGGTAATTTATTTCAAAAAGATTAATTTGTAGCAGATCTGATTGCATATAATAAGTAGTACAGCGGCACTACTCCACTTCGCTGTGGCTCACAGTCCTTGGTCTCTGTCCCAGACACTAGCGTTCCGTTCTTATATTAAAGTAGCTGGTTCAAATGAGATCACATGTTTGGATATACTTCGCAAGCAGCGCGATAAAGTACCCACTATTAACTTTAGACCCAGCAAAGAACATAGAGTCGCTGACCTTTAAACATCCCTCATGAGTACTTTTGAGCAAACCTTGATATGGAAACATATTACTCCTCCTTTTAGCAGATATGGAAGGTAGATAATATTATAAAAAGAATTATAAAGGTAATTAACCTCTTGTATGACACTACCACTTAAACAATGTATATATTTGACCTCCTCTCCTACCTTTCGAGCGACAATAGTAGGTGTGAATAACTTATAAAAAGGCTATAAAAAAGCTACTCACACCTGCTATCCTAATATCCTGCTAGTACATTTTTACGGACCCTGCAGAGAAAATTCTATAACATCAGTTCCTCTGATAAACCAAGTGTAATGAATTATAGGATATAATTTTGCGTGAATCTAACTTACAGCATGTATCAGAATTAGTACTCGACTTCTTTTTTTTTGTTTTTTGATAACTTTGAGCTTGTT